TCGCAAAAGAAAAAAATGCACCATCTGTGGGCAACGCCGCACAAAATCATAGCGTGATAGGTTAAAAAAACGAATTTTGGGTCGATTTAAAGAGCCTGGCGTCTCCTTAAATCACCCTGTAGAACGTTTTACCTATGCAAGACAAAAGCCTAGCAGTTTCCGATATTTTTGGGTTTTCAAGGCCCGTGTTCTTCCTTGGAGATACAAAAAGGAAATGCATTTGTCAGATAATGATTTTCTTCCATTTAATTAACCACAAAAATGTTTATTCCTAAATATTACGGCAAATATTCTCTGTGCATTTTATAAACTCTAAACGTGTTTTTTTTTTAAACACTAAGCTGGTCTGTGCTGGACAGCAGATACACTAAGTTGACCGGATGTACACACGAGGACACACTTTTCGGTGGTTGAATGCACGACACAACACACTAGGCTGCTCTGATGTGCACATAAGGCTACACTTGGCAATCACAGCCATCACCAAGCTGATCTGAAGTGCACTTTCGGATACGCAAGGCTATCACAACTGTTACTAAGCTGATCTGATGTGCACTTCCGTATACAATAGGCTGATGTGATCTGCACACCAAAACGCTAATTTGATCGGATGTGCACATCAGGATACACAAGGCTGGTGTACTGCGCACAGACACACGATAAGTTGGCCTGATGGACACACCAGGACACAAAGATCTGGTGTGCTGTACACACCATAACCCAATAGGCTCTTTATTAAACACAAGGACACATTAGACGAGTTTGATGTTTACACCAGGAAGCACCACAACATGCCAAAGAGGTCTGGTGAACTTTCTGACTGGGAAAAGAAGCAAAAATAACAGAAGCGCGAATATGTAAGTAGCTGACCACTCCCAAACGGTATTTGCACTTTGACTGTAGGCTTCTGTCACTCCCGCAAGTCGCTGTTTTTCACACGAGTGCGTGTTAGGCTGGAAAATTTGATGCATCAGCATTAGCACTACAAGCCAAGAATACCGACGGCGCCCGTTTGTTGACAAAACAGTGGAAATAGCAGCGCAACCGCGCAGAGAGCAGTTTAGTGAAGGACAACGGCAAGAGGGAGGCGATATCACAAGGCGGAGGCCTATGCGTACGCGGATGCTGGGGCGAGACCGAACTTCCAGGCGTGAGGATTGTGTCTGCTTTCTTTTGTGGTAGAGAATGGAGTGTGAACTAAGTAACAGCGCAGGTTCAACAAGGCGGCTAAAAAAGACGGATTATGAACGAAAGTGGCTGTTAAGTAACACAGGATTTTGTTTTTAATAAGTATGTTTTGTTTAGAAAGCTTATCTTTCTATAGTTAAGTCGGCATTGTTTTTTTATCTGCTTATGTTTGTGTCGGCATATTTGGGCTTTTGCTCTCAGAGCCGCGGCAGGGGGTACGCTTGCAGGAGAGCATGAACGGGGAGTCGCCTACCGCCCCCACGCGCGGAGGACTTTGAGCAGCCGCGGGGCTCGGTGAAAACGAGTCGGACCCCGGTGGTTAAGAAACAGATTGGGTTTCTGTTTGGGGCGCAGAAACAGCCGTGTCCCTGACAGTAGTACTTCTGTCCGCACTTCCGGCCTTTAAGCGTGTGTGCTTGTGTCTGGTGTATTTCGCCGTTTTGTGTAGAAACTTCGCTTTTAATCAACGCAATAACTTAACTGGCTGGCGCCAGCCAGGTGGCCAGGAGAGCATTTAGTGAATCTACAAGGAATTTGGTTTTGACCCTTGAGGTGTCGGAGGGGGATCACGTTGACAGCTTGCTGGTCTTTGGGTAAGAGTGTACCACGTGACAATGGACAAAGTTGAATTGAGTGGTCCGTCTATGGAGGGAAGCAAGGCCACTACGAGTCTAGAAAAGGGGTGCCGAGAGGATTCTCGAGGGATTAGGTTTTTCAGACTGGGTATGGGTTTTAGTTTTGGAAGCTTTGTATTGTAAATTACCGCTGACTTGTTTCGTTTTGAAATAAACGTCGCCATGCTGGCCATTGTAAACCAACCAACGTCGGAATATTTCCAATGGGATCGAACAACTTTTAGTTTCTATTTTTTTTCTAATTCGACTTCCTGTGGGACTTCCATTGGGTGAACATCATCACCCGTCGTCTCCATCTTTACCGACCCCCTGCCTCTGACAGTTGACTGGCACAGTCGACAGGATGCTGCTGACTTCCTGTGACGGGTGGTGAGCGAAAACGACGACGATAAAAACCAGTTGCGAGTGTGCTCTTGTCTGTCTACTTCCTTGTCCTCGCATTTTTTGCACTTCTTTAGGTGACCGTCGGTAGAGATTGACTCTTCATCTCCTTACTAGCAAGGTCACATACAGGTACGACGTGAATAATAATTTTTTTACAAGTTTCAAGACATCTAGAATGCCACATTCTATGTTTTGATGAACAGGACAGCTGAAGTTCCTATTTTTACGGTTACTGAAACAATAAAAACACGGATTTAGAGAAACATTGTATATTTAAATGCAGAGTGACCTACCATGCTCACAGCCTGTATTGAGAGACATTGGGAAGAACCTCGCTGGTTTTATGCGTTTCTTTTTGCCTTTTTTTGCTAGCATATGTGTGACCCTGAAATGAAGGAGTGCTTTCACACAGTGGAATCTAGCTTTTTTATGCAAAGAACAACTAATTTTTGGAATGCCAGTGTCCCTTTTAACTAACTGCAGTCGACTCTCATTATTTCAAACTCCAGGATATCGCAAGCTTTTGTTTGATGTATCAAAAATTTATCTAAAAATTACGTGAGGCAATGTAGCAATTCGCTATACGCACAGACAACACTGGCGAAGTTCGATACGAGTAGTAGTTTTGGCAGAATAATTTGTAGTCGACTATCGAATAGTTTCTCCAAACCTTTTATTACCGTTTTACCATGCTTCAACAAAAATTCAGCTGAACTCGTGAAGGTTGTTCCCGACCGTCCACTGCTAAGCCCTGTTAGTTTTAATATAACAATGTGTATGAACTGTGACCTCAGAAGGTCCAATGCCTACTTGTGGTGGTAGATAAATGACAGATTTGACATAAATTTAAACCTAAAAAGTCTCCCCGCTATTCTATTCGAGGGAACATATAAATGTGCTCGCTATATGCAAACATTCTTTCTTTAATCTCGAATGTAACGCAATCAGAAAAATGAAAAAAACAAGCAAAAATAATGAAAGCAGATTGTTGGGACGGTATACTGCTTGCAAGGTGGGCTAGCCCTATTGAACATGCTTCTCACCGAGCACCCGCATACTGTACAAAAGCCTTGCCCGCGAGCTTTGCGCGAGTATTGCCTTACTGCACTATGTGCGTGCTAGGTGAGATGCGCACTCAACGGGGCCAACCCGCTGCGACAAAGAAATAGTAAAAATTAAGCAAAAACACTGCTTGAATTCAGCAGCTTATAAATACATTAAAACCATAGTGGGACACCTAAAATTTTAATATATTGAATTAACCCGAAGTTTGAATTATCCGAGTTAGAATTATAAAGAGTCCACTGTAGTGCGTTCTTATATATTATACAATTCATTTACAGCTTCGATTACAAATCTTTTTATAGTGCCGACGAGACCAACCCCCACAAGTGAGCATATCAGGAACTGGACGAGTGAACCGCAGGTGGCAGGCAGGAGTGCGGGGAATATTGTCCTTTCCTCTGCTGTTCTCTTCAGTTGGGTGAACCCCACCGTCACGTTAAGTATGCTGCGGCTCATAAACCTCCAAGTAATCTGTGACCGCACATTCTACAGGTACCAGGAGGGGTGCCTTTCGCCAGCTATAGGTGATGTAAGTTTTAAAATCACCGTTTTGCAGCTCATTCTGTTCAGTCTGAAAGAACACTATGGAGACAGCAGATACAATTTTTTCTGATATGCTTTGAATGAACAGACGCTTTAAATAGTCATATATCTGATTTCCGTATGTGATGAATGGTTCAGGGAATACTGTGTATGTACTCGGCATTCTTTTAACCACAGAGTAGTCTGCATGTGGTGAAATGTAAAAAGAGGGTTGACAGTTTCCGACATGACATATGTATCATCACCTAGGAGACAACATCAAATTTTGGGATGCACCGAGTAAGGGTCCGAAGCACTGAAGCAGCAGCCACACAATTGCAGCCTCCATCGAGTGCGGGGGTGGCACGACGTCTAGTAAAAGCAATTCACCCACTATCACTATTTCCTTCCGTGCAACTGTACATGAGTGAACTGGGTCAAAGCATTTCAGATAAGTTGCTGATATAATAACAAGTTGTGCATTTATCTACAGCCAAACGTTTAGTATTGAAGGATCATTAGCAATTCCTAATGTGTATTTAGAAGCACTATAGTCTATAGCAGGGGTCGGCAGCCTCTTGCAACGGCAGGCCGAGGCATCATGAACCCGACAAGGAGGGGGTCAGACGAAAAGTTGCGAAAGGGAGAGGGCTGCACGTTTGAACGTAAAAATACTAATAGTAATTGAGGTGACGTTTATTTTTAGTGTCGGATCTCTCCCGAAAGCGGCCGTCAGAGAATGCGAGCTTAACTCACTTGGGCGTTTGTGCTGAACGGGGATACGCACCGTGCATGCTGCATTGTTCAAGCAGGTCAGAGTGGTAACACAAGAGCCCCTCCTCCCCCTTAGGCGACAGCAGAGCACAAACTCCAGCCGAACGCTGAAGCAGCGTTCGGTTGTCAGTCCAGCGCGGAGTCATAGTTATTTGTTGTCCTCATCCGCTTAGCTCTAAAGTTAGCTGCTTGGGACGCCACAGTCTCATCTCATTCCCGATACTTTGCCTGCTTTGTCATTTATGACAATCTAGTGATTGACCAGTGGCAGCATTGTTACCTTAGGTATCTGCATGGCAGCTGCACACACTCCTAACTCAGTGACATATCTGGCAATATATCAGAGGTCTACGGGTAATCCAAAAAAACTATTCCAAATTGAGTTTTCTTACACAGGTATGGAACACAGAACAGGAAAAGTTTCTAGAAAGCATGAGGAGTGCAGGAGGAGTGCACCTGGCTGTTGATGGGCGTTGCGATTCGCCGGGCTACAGCGCAAAATACTGCACATACAGCTTCTACTGCAATGCTCTCCACAAGATTGTACACAAGGAGCAAGTGCAAGTTGGTGAGGTAAGAATGTTTATTTATTTGAGCCATTCCTGTTACATAAAATGCCATACATAAGGTGAGAGAACTAATAGAAATGGGCTACAAGGTGATTGTAGTTAAAAGGAATAAAGTCATGCATGAGATTTGTGTCCTGATTTCCATGCTTTTTGCATATATCAAATAAGAATATTAAAACGCTTGCTGTTTCGGTTTTTGTCAAGATGATTTTACCAGAAAAACTCTAATTTGGCTGAGCACCAGAACAAATTTTTCTTGAATGATATACCTCATGTATTTCGGTATAGAAAATGTTCCTGGTTCCTGCTTGTGCATATAGTGCCGTGTGCGTGGCAAACTTGGAAACGCACACAGCTACTACGCTGGGGAACAAGGTTCAAACACCATGCGGCCCGGTTCCATTTTTTCGCAATGTTAGATCTTGTAAACAGTTCCGGACAATTCTCTCGTCACCTTTTTTTCTGACTGAACATTCCTGAACCTACCGAGTGTAAAAAAAGTGTTGATGCGCTGCTTCGGGACCGTTGCCCCCTGTCGCATAGAGTTGGAAATTTGAAATAAGGAAAGTTTTATAAAAAAAAAACTGAATTTGCAATAAAAAAATTTACTTCTTGGAAGAACAGTCCTTGTATTTTCCGTAGCTAACCCAAAGCACGGAACCCTACATAAAGTAACACTGAGAGGGTATTTATGGTTGCCAAGAATATCTTGGAAACATTATTTATCTGGGCCTATCACGCAGAAAACTTTCAGCTGGAAATCTGTTTGTTTTGTGTTTAGAAACTGCCTGTCAAGATTTGGTTATTTGAGGCTAGTGTCCCTCCCTTCTGAGTTTTCATGTACAAAATATTTGCGGTGTAAAATAGTGAACAATTATTTCTAAAGCTGGAGTAATGCCTTGGATTTTGGCAGCACCACAAACTCTTATATTTAAAGACAGATTAATTGCATGGTCGCAGTGAGTGACTTCCACGACTCCTCCAACATCACAGGGCACCTAACTGGTTCTGTGGTTTTTACTTAACTTTTTTTTTATGCAAGCATGCGACTCTGGAACATAAACCCTTGAGTGGTGTCCTTACACTATAATCTATCATTTCGCAATGACAAATTATTTTTGTTTAGTCAGTATTCTTTTCAGACAAATGATGACATTGTGAGCACTGCTATGAAACATTAGATGAGATAGTGGTACCAGTATTTGCTCTAGGCTACTGACTTATCTACTTCTTTGTCAGTGCGATGAGGTGAAATCCAGCTCGCAGATAGAGAAGGTGGGCTTTGTCCGAGCCCTCAACTACCTGCAAGATGAAGGCATAAACATCATGTCCATTACCACAGACCGGCACAGTGCCAATAAAAAGAAAATTGCCAACAACCACCAGACCATGACACACTTTTTTGACAGTTGGCACATGTCAAAAGGTATGTCGATCAGCGACAAAAATACAGCGCAACTGTAGGAACTAACAAACGTGTAGCATGAACTGCTGGTGCATCATTTATTGAAAGAATTATGTAATCTACCTTAACAGGAATCACGAAGAAGCTCACAGCAGCCAGTTAGCGACCTTGCAACAAAAACTAAAAAGCTGGGTTCAGCCCACCAGCAACCATCTCTACTGGTGTGCTGCGGTTGGTAAAGGAGATGAACCAACGGCATTGGATTTGTGGCATACGATTAAACGGCATGTTGTGGATCTTCATGATGGCCACGAAGGTAGCCTCACTCAGTGTCTGCATGGTCCCCTGACAAACAAAGAGTGGCTTAGCCAAGGTGAGCTTTTCGTTTCTGTTGTTTAACTGCATCCAGGTAACAATGCCAGTCATTTTTTCCCCAGGATCACCAGCCTATAAAGCATTTCTGAAAGTGGTGATGGCACCAACATTGTTGCGTGACCTGAAGAAAGTGTCACCCTCATGCCATACATATGGACTAGAGTCGTTTCAAAGCGTCTTAATTAAATTTGCACCGAAGTCCCTTGCTTTTTCGTATGAGGGAATGCGTGCCCGGTAACCCAGCTTGTAATTTTTTTGTATATGTTTGCATTGCCTGGGGACACTTGACATTTCTTTCCGAGTACCTACCTCGCCATTTTGCACTTCAATGAACATAGCAAGCGACTCCAGGCCCAAACCGCTGAGGGAGAAGACAGGTCGCATGTGAAGGCCCCAAAAGCCCGGAAAGATCACCTGGCAGCATTCCCCCTCACAACGGAGCCAGCTTATGGTGAGCTGTCTCAAGAAACTCTTTTTAGAGTAATCTGTAGTTCAATTCAACATGAGAAGCTACTCTGCCCACATGAAGCAAGCTCTACTCAGTGCTTTATGTTGGGCACTTTATGCGCTTAGGTGCATAAAACGCCAATGTGTCAAACATTATTTGAACCCTGGAGAGTGGGGACAAGGAGGACAGCAGGAGCACAAATCTCCAAAGAGACTTAACGTTTATTCCAAGCTTTACGACCTTATATAGGTATGTACACAAAGAAGGGAATCCAAAAGACCAAAAAGCAACACGACGTCCCACTGCTGCCTAGGGATCAAGCTTGGTGCATAGAATGTTCTTATGGGTGTAGCCTCTCCTGCATTTCTTGTGCTACACACCGTATGTAAGCTTTGTGAATGCAGTGGTTTACTGCACGGTTATCATAATTGCAAGAATGCACTTTGAGAAAGTGCTCACTTACTTTTGCCTTCAAGACTACAGCACTTACCTTGTGAATTAATATATAAATGTATATTACATTGCTCCCTCCTTTTGCAGAGTATGGGGACACTTTGTTCAACGAAGTATTGGAACGGCTTCAGCGTCTGTCATCGTTCAGGGAAGCCAACGCCGAAGTCTCAGCACTCCCCCCACCACCTCCACCCATGATTCCAAGAGTGCAACCGAGGCCCTCCAAAGAAAACCTCGGAGCAGTCCACTAGTCACGGTTTGGGAAGAATTAATTTCGACACCATCCACGCCACTGCGGGCACCGAGCTGCGTGTCGATTGCCAGCTTGCTTTGTTTGTGCCCCAAGAACTGCAATCTACTTTGACATGCAGCTCGCATGTCAAAGTAGAAAAACAATATGTGTGTGGTTGTTTATCAGATTATTTTCTGTTTATGTTGGGCATTCCGCGGTGCAGCATTCTTAATCTTTGTTTTTTTAATCAGTGTAAATAATGTTTTTATCAATGAAATATTCGAACATGCAGTTTTATTGTGCTCACATAAATTTGTTCCAGGTTATGTATAATGTAAAGGGCTGTGTATCTCTTCCGTGCAATATGTGTTGTATGTTCATGGGTGCTGAACTAAAGGTTCTTAGAAGTTGATACTTTGATAGTCTTTTTTTGTTCTTGTTGGCACTGTTTTTATGTGAAATGTGAAAATGGAGTAATAAATCAAGAGCTCCTGGCATGAGTTTAACCGCGCCAAACTACAACTCATAACCAGCATTTTTCAATTACTCTGGCGTGAACTGTAATGGGTATAAACCGTGACTCCCTCTACAAAAGATGCAGATGGCTGGTTGGTTTAGAACCAAATTTGCAACAGTCACATAATGAAAATGCAGCAGCAAAGGGATAGAAGCTTTAATGATGGCCACAACAGAAGGTCCATGCTAAATGTGCCAAGAGGCATTTGAGGTGCATTATTTCAAGTTAGCTAAATTAGTTATGTTACAAGGTGTTAACTCGCGCACTGTAAAAATGTAAAAAGACCAATCAAGTTTAGTCAGCACCGTAAATGATATTAAGAAAAGGCAGGAATTAATCGAGAGCAAAATAACAGATATCGATAAAAGGCTGACTGCGGTAGAATCTAAATCTTCGTCCAGCGACCTCCTACAGCAAGACTTGTCATTGTTACGGCAGATGTCTGATAGCCTCATTGATGAGAACTCGCGATTACGGGCTAGCCAGGCTGAGCTCAAGGACAGGTCACGACGCGATAATTTTTTTGTTTTACTGCTTTACGGATGCTCATTCAGAAACCTGGGCCCAGACTGAGGAAAAGCGACTGAACGTCGTGTCGACCTCTCTGAATTGAACGTGCACATAGGCTCGGTGTCTTCTCGGATAACAAATGCAGACCAGTGATGGTAAAATTTTTATCCTTCAAATTAAAACAACAGATGTTATTTTCAAGAGCAAACTTAAAGCCTAGTGGCATTACCGTCAGCGAGGATTATTCTGTTCCGACAAGTCAGGCACGCAGAAAGCTGATTGAATTTGCGAAAACGCAGAACTCGGTGTTTAAACTAAAATACAACAAACTTGACATAAATAACAAGACCTACAGTTACAACCCAATCGATGACTGTGTGTTTGAACATGCTAGCACCACTAACCAGCGCAGCCTGAATCGAAGTTCGAACACTGAATGTGACGCATCACCGGCAAGCGCTTCGCGATAACAACACGTGAAGGGTAGTGGACTGGCGCTTGATAACAAAAATAAACTTTCTCTTCTTTTCACTAACATTTTCTCTTCTTTTCACGAACAGTTCATCACCTAAACGTGATGAACTGAGCTCTGTCATTGACACATGCGATGCTGACGTAGTGGTACTTACTGAAACGTGGCTTTCCGCAAAAAATGGGAGCAACGAGCTTCTTGAGTGTACCAGGCGATTTAAGTTTTTCGGCGTGACAGAGAAGAACGACGCGGAGGTGGTGTTTTGATTGCCGTCGCCGATTACATTATCTCGTCTACTGTAGATGTCCCAAGCAGCCTGGAACTTGTTTGGGTTGAACTTCGCATGCGTTTCAAAACGCTTATCTTGGGCGTTTGCTATTGTCCACCATCATTCAGTGCGACTTTTGTTGACAATTTACATGATTCAACTAATAAAATTATGGTACGTTTCCGAAATGCTTCAATAATGTTACTAAGCGACTTTAATTATCCAAATATTTTATGGTCCCTACTGAAAAAACCTGTACAAATGTATATCGGCCTATACCGGTTCACACCGGAGTCCTGTATTCTCATATCGGTAACCGCTAGCTCTGTACCGGAGACCTGTAACCACGTACTGGCGAAGCCGATACGCCGTACCGGCTGCCCATATCATGTACAGGTGACCGGTAAACACGTACGGACACCGCCGGTAGGCCACACCGGTAACTGGTAACCACGTACCGGCGAAGCCGATACGCCGTACCGGTTGCCCACATCATGTACAATCTTGATCACAGTTAGTGGGGACGCCGGAGCGCGTGGCAGCGGGCACTATCAGAGCGCTCTACCGGACTGCCGCGCAACTACTGCGCATGCGCATCGCGCGTGCGGCGAGATTATATTCTCGTCGCGCGCATCACGTCATCTGAGCGCTCTTCTGTCGTCTGCTACGCGCCTCGTCTGCTATGTGTATCGTCTGCTACGCCTGCCGTCTGCTACGTGTGTCGTCTGCTACGCCTGTCGTCTGCTACGCGCCTCGCCTGCTACGTGTGTTGTCTGCTACGTGTGTTGTCTGCTGCGGCTATTGTCTACCATGCGCATGCTACTGGTGATAGCAAGAACTTCGGCATACCCGAAAGGTGGTGAACCCTAAAATGAAAGCTCTTCCAATGTGCTCATCTGCTTTCCTGATTTAGTTTCAGTATTTGTTAAAGCAAATAAACATTGGAACTTTTTTTCTTCTCGCGTCAGTCTGCGCCAGCTTCGCCAACCCCGCTTCCTGTGAAGTCTAGAGCTATCTCGGGCGCGGTGATCATAAACTAATTGTCGGCCAGCGCGTCTGCATCATTAATTAACGTGGTCCTGACTTTGATAACTGCATTTATAGCTTGTGGTTCTTGTCTTCCTTATTGTTATTGCCGTTTGGCCTGTGATATATGTGTGTTGGTGACCGTGGGGTGCAGACGTCTAAGATTTCTGCCCATAAGGTTTGCTGCAGCCAATTGCTGTAACGACGACGTTGTGTCAGTAGTGTCGGGTAAGAAAAGTGCAAACTTTATTGCTGAAGTAAAATTGAATGGCTGCGATAGTAAAATTGAATGGTTGCAGTCAAAGAAAAATCAAGTCAACTAAAACAGGCTCAGTAACGGGTCATATCCCCGTTTAGCTCGACTACAGCCACCATCCTTGGCGGCAGCGAGTCGTAAAGACTTGACACGAAAGACGCGTCTCCTCTCAAACGTTCCCATTTTGCTTGGACTGCGTCCCACAGCTGGTCTTCTGTGGCGGAATAAATAGGAGTCCGCACCATGGCCGCCTTCATTCGGCCCCACACGTTCTCAATGATGTTGAGGTCTGCGCCCTTCGGAACCCATGGCAACTCCTCTATGCCGCACTGCCGCAAGTGGTCCTTCACGGTGCGCGCAGTGTGGATGGGCGCGAGATCTTGAAAAAGGAAGCTCCCGTCGGGGAAGAGACCACTCCGAACGAAGGGTATAATGACGGTGTCCACCACGTCACACACTCTAAGAAAAAAAGGGTGTAGTTGGGTGTATCGGGCGCAGGTGCACCCCTTTCCGGTCACACACACCCTTCGTAACTAAGCAGGTGTAATGGTACACCAACTACCAGCATCCTCCTCTCCACCCCAAAACGGATCGGCGTAACTGCACACCAGTACTTACACCCCTATCAACTCGTGCTTGGGTTGGATTTAGTTGGGTCATGATGGCTACGTGTTTTCGAAAAGTAAAACAAAAATAAAGAAGTTTATTTTCTTATAGATATTTCGCTTATACTAGTAAGTTTTAGGCATCAACGAGGTTAATTATTTGCTGTTGTAATGCAATGGTAAAATTACTTATGCGTAGTTCAATTCCCGGTTGATACCGGAACTAGAAACATTCACCCTGCGAACTTCAAATACAAAACAAAAAATGATGAAGCAGGACTGGCCCTAGTACGGAGTTGTGCAGTGCGTGTTTAAGAAACAGACGGTGAGATTGAAGCAAAGAAATGTGAAGTGTAGTTTGCTTGGCACAAAATGGTCCCAGCAATGGTGTAAGTGTAAGTATCTGTGCCGCAACCAGAGGTCGCAACACCGAACGCTCTAGAGGGTTAACGCGTTGTTGAACCAATCTGTCAATGTGAACAGGCAGCTTTGGTGAAGCCCATTGGAACAATCGTATGTGGTTCAAGGGACTTGAAATAAGAGACAGCAAAGTTCAAAAGAATCGAAAATCGGGTAGGTATTTCGACGAGCACAGCCTGGTAGCTAACTTAGCTGCAGTGGGAGTTGGCTGCCAGGTTCGTCGCCGTCGCCGCTCATGCTCGGCTTGTAGACGCCGTTTCTTACCCATGCTATTCTGACGCGTGGTTTCATTCGCAAGAGAGCACATGCAAATGAACGAGAGAAGCCACACGCTGCCGCCGACAGCTTTGTCAGCATGGAGAGGCTTCTACGGCGAGCTGTAATACCTGCTCTGCGTTTTGTGCCGACGCGTCAGCGACACACTGCTAGCTTTTAATCAGTGCAGTCAACTTTCTGCTCGAACGTAGCTGGTGACTATATTACGGTGCCGGAAGATCACTTAGGACTGCTTGTTCGTGTTAAAAATGCCCCGGTGCCGCTAAGAACAGGGCAATGCGACACCGCTTGCGCACTTTGAAAGTCGGCGAAAAACGACCTCGGGTTTGGTTTGAGTGCGTCGTTGTGTCCCGTGGCTATGATAATGACTCGCGCGCATCGCGTATATAGCGGGAGTTTTATATTTTATTTTCATATGAGTAAAGCTATGCGCACTACGTCGTGCACCTCGACTGGAAATGGCAATACGCACTACGCGAAACTCGTATAAAACGAATGGTTGCAAGGAGATTCCGAAGCGGTGGCGTGGCATAGTCATTCTACTTCCGGCTGCCGAACGCGTCGGACGTTCGAATCATGAGCTCGGAAGGAGCGGCGATAACGGCCCTCGCCGGCCGCGGTAGTACTATTTTTTCCCGGCTCAAGTGAGTCCAGGTTTGTTTTGCCTCAGCTTCCATCAGGTGATGCAAT